CCTTCGCACAAAGCCTAAGATTTTTCAATCCGTCTTGGGCCGGATTTTTCATTACTTTTGCACGCTCTGCTGATCTACTTTTGTTATAATTTTTATCATGTGACTTTGATATGCACGAAGTACAAAACGCACCTTCATGCTGTACGGCAACTTGACAGCTTTTGCTGAGATACCTGAATAAATCGATTTAAGTGCTGAACATGGAAGAATAAAATTAGTACTATCAGTACAGTACTAATAAAGATAACCAACTATATTTTGTTGAGGTATCGCTAAAGACTCACCTCGTGTGTGGGATGGATTTGTTTTAAATACATTGTGCACGGAATCCAATTGCATGGCTTATATACGTTTTCATATCCATTGCACAAATGAAGTTCAGATAAAATTTTTAGGCACTCGTCAATGGGCATAGTTTTTATACATATATTCTCCAATAACAGATTTTTCGGGACTGGAATGCCGTGTAAATATAAAGATATGGTAAGATCTTCAACAACTTCTAGAATTGTGTCTGTTGTGTAATCCGAATTCTTCAGAATGAATTTGATGAAATTTGACTGATTCAAATTATCTCATGAGTGGAACAACTCTTTCGTAAAAGATAGACGGAGTTTGGGCAAATTAGAAAATTCTGCGGGTCTCCTAACTAAATTTCTTCTTGCCATTGGTTTTTGATACGAAAATTTTTTCTCGGGTAACTTCAGATTTGGAAGTGATCCAGGAAAAAGCCACGACTTTATTGACGCTACAAAAAACAAAACTTTATTAAATAACAAATATATAATGTATTTAACTAATATATATATATAGAGTGGCGTCAATTCGTGGTTACTGTTATACCTAGGGAAGAAAAAAATACAATAATTTGTACAAAATGAAACAAACGCAAGTAACTTACATCTATGAATTTCTTTTGTATGAAAATGGTCTTCACAAATAAATACATTACCATGATGGAGGCGTTTGCCAAAATTTAGGTTAGATGGATCGCGATATTTTATTAAAATGGATATCATGTCTTTACGCCAGTTTGCTGTGTCAACACCTGCGGTTATTTAATAAAAAAAAACTTGAAAAATCTGAATTTTATAGCCCATATTTACATAACTTCACAATTGTTTAACTATACACAGAAACAGCAACAATACCCTTATCACAAAGACAACACAAAACATCAACATACTGACACGATACAGAGAAACGTATTCCATTTTGACAAATTGGGATCCATACATCGGCAGCAACTCCTGTGAACAACAGAAAATAAAAGCCAATAACTGGTTTCACAGATTTGCCCAGTTTTAAAATTTGTACCAACAATTTTTTTGGTAAAATATGCGGATTTTTTAAGACAATAAAGAGAATGATCCTAATAAGATGTTATGGACATAATACTAATATTATAACAGTATAAATTTACTTAACTGATTCGACTGCACATGAGACAGACACACGTAGACACACAAACAACATTTATAATTTCACACAAGAGGCATAGGCTATACGGTTTCTTGAACTGAAAAAAAAAAAAAAATTCAAAAAATAGTCATGCAGACTCCGGGTATCACGTTGAATTATTACCTTTTTCTGATTTTAGCTGTACCTGAAAATTTTCACAATTTAAAAACAGTCATACCTTCACCTAATGCCATACCATTCGCGTAAAAGATCAAGAATGGTATTATAAGTTTATTCCATTCATAGTCTACATAACTTACACAACATATATCAGTATATACTTTATCAAAAATCTTTGAACCAAAATACTGAAATAAAATGAGGAAAAACGCATATGATTAAGTCACCAAGAGTCAAAACTTGATAGACAAAAAAAATGTAGACAATAACAACCAACTGATTGAGTTTTTTAGGCGAGGCTAACTTGCCCAGTTCCTATAAAACGGCACCGTACCTCTTACAGTTTTTCTTGACGGTATTTTGAATAAATGCTTCCCATTTGTTGAGCGTCCGTAACATCCGGGGATACAGCAGTACTTTCCTCCAACACTCCCTGCTCACTTGTATTCCATAATTAAAGATAAAACGTCCAAGTTAATACCCTGCACCTAACTGAAAACACCAGTCTACTAGCATTACTCTGGCACTACTCTGCTTCAACACTACTCCAACTGCTAATCTCCTAGTGTTGGGTGCGATGGCATTGTCAAGTGCGTCCCGAACGCTTAGCTGCCCAGCGCCATTAGCTTTTCTATTGCAAAATATACCAAGTGCAGTTTCAAGTATTTTATGGCGTCTGAAGCTGCCGCAAAACCATGGTGGAATTCCTAAATCGTGGCCGCTATTGCCAAACCCATGGCGACTGACTTTTTAGCTGACACAAACCAATGGTGAAATTGAAAACTAAAGGCGAATGAAATTTTTCTGCCGTTACCACGGCATGCCGGCTGTAATGGCAGGGCTGTCCCTGATAGTAGACAATAGACAATAGACAATAAGTTTATTTCGTCGTGCAAGAAATCACAATACAAATTCAGTATTACAGTACATTTCAAATACAGTAACGGATTTCATCGCAATTGACAGGAAGTCGCGAAGGACCAGGAATGGTCATCACAAGTCTGCGACACCAGGATTAAAAACGAGTCAATAATAAAAAATTGAAATAAGTGAAAGCAATATGCACAAAGAAAAGCTTATCCATTCATAAATTAACCAACAAGGTTGATATGAATCATTATATATGATTTGGGAGAGAAAGTAAAAATAAAAGTCGGGAAAATTCAATTGATATACAGTAATTATAAAAATAAATCACCATATCATTCAGCTGTGTTTTTGTACAATTGCAGCGATTAAATTTTTATATATTGTCATATGCAACATTAAATTGAGCGATCATTTTAATTGATGAAAAAAAATTAAATTAAGCAACCTCTATGTACGAATTATAAGGCACAATTCATACTCAATGTACAACCATCCACATAAAACTTTTAGGGTAGAAAATAAAATTTGGCACCAGGCCGATGTTAGGCGCATATATCCAGATCGGAGGCGACTCCAGCCACATCTTAGTTACGGTTGGTTAGCTACGGAGGGCAATCATTTGTCAACGAACTGGAAAATTGTTCAGGTTGCTGAGCGACCGCACGCGCTTCAGAAATCTGGTACATGACTTCGTGAATATACCGGTAATAGCGCCATGACGCATGACCACGGCAAAGGCTGCCAAACTGGTTTATTCCTTATCAAACCAACGACTAATCTACTAAGCAAACTATGGAGAATTATAACCCTCTGTTGACCCTCTATAACAGGGGTGGGCAACATACGGCTCGCGGGCCGGACCCGGGCAAGATTTGGACCGGCCCGCTGACTGTACATTATTACACATTTAGTACATTATGAAAAATTCATTATGGGTTTTTTGGTCTCTATTTTTTGTAAAGTTTAAACTTTACTTTAAACGCGATTTATATTTTTCCTTCTTGCATTAGCGAATAAATATGTGATTAAGATATTCAATACTATTCATGTAATAATCCGGCCCACCGAGGACTTCATTTTCCCACATCTGGCCCGCCGACTAGAGAAGTTGCCCACCCCTGCTCTATAATCAAACTATGCAACAAGAAATTATGATTGAACACAAAAATTAATGGCATATTACCTTACATGGGTACTGTATAGATAGGACCAATGACATTTAATGTCATTGATAGGACGTTCTCGGCTCAATGTCACCAATGGACGCTTCCGTACTGCAGTTGATTTTTGCTGGAGCGGTTTTCAAAAATTCTACTGCGTAAAACTAGCCTTAGTTAGCTTTATGTGAAGAGTAAGCGTCAAATATCCTGAAAATATATTCAGAATCATATTCGTAATAAACTAAAATCTGGTAAATGACTTTGTGAATATACGATAATAGCGCCATGACCACAGCAAGAGCTGGCATTGGTTCGTTCAGAGCCATTATATCTAATGGCTCTGATTATAAAATGGCTCTTGTTCGTTCGTGACGGGAGCTGCCATGAAGTGGTAAGAACCGCGCCTCAAATATACCATACTGGTATGATGTTTGAGTGTTTTGCAAGTTGGCAGTTGCAAACTGGTTTATTCCTTATCAAACCAACGACTAATCTAATTATCAAACTATGGCCGACCGTGATCAAACTACGCAACAAGAAATTATAATTAAACAAAAAAATTAGTGGCATATTACATTACCTTACATGGGTATAGGACGTTCTCCGTTCAACGTCACCAAAGGACGCTTCCGTCGGGAACAAATTGCCTTACCGGTACTGCAGTTGATTTTTGCTGCAGCGGTTTTCAAAAATTCGTATGCGGAAAAATAGCCTCAGTTAGCTTTATGTAAAGAGCAAGCGTTCAAATAAATTCTGAAAATATATATAGAATCATATTTACCATAGAATCATATTCGTGAAAAAAAATATCAGTGATAATCCACAAAAAATATGAATAGGCGGTACCGATACCGTACCACCAATGAACATGAAGAGAAATTTAAAATGAGAGCGAGATCTGAATGCTTTGATACCTACGTCTGTACGTAGTTTAGTGTAGTCTACTTGTTGTGTAAGTCTGAAAATTTTCAAATTTTTTGTGTTAGTACTGTGCTGGTAAATTGAATTGTTTTGCCTACCGGTACCCATACTGCCATATGATGATTTGTAGTGAGAATATTTCGATGATATGATGCTGGTATTGTCTCACTGTAATGTGGTACTAGTAGTAGTTTTGAACATGTATAACTGCCCAGTCTGCCAGTGTTGGACCTAGCGCCACTTCTTCTCAAATATGGTATGTTTTGATACCTGGATACCGGTACAGTAAACTTATACAGTATTTCTACTGTCATTTGCTATTGTCATTTTTTTATGTAACTATTGTACATTCATGATTTCAATAATAACTTGAAAATTTGATAATCTTAACCAACTGGATAATATGTAGCCTATTCAAATGAATTGGATACTACTGACTGACTGATGCAAAATCCATGGAACATACAGATACGGTATATGATAATGATACTAATTATATTAGGTGGTCACAATTAATGTAATTGGATGAATATTGTTTTTTTGTTTCAACACATAATGAAAAAGGGAATTTAAGAGTAAGCTGTCACTGTCTGAGGAAAGGGATGTGTTTTGAAATAGTTGAGTGTGCAAACATCACTTCTCATATGTTTTCTCGAGTTGAATTGTACCAAATAGGAATAGAACTAGAATTTATATTAGATCATCAATTCATATTGTTATTTGACCAAATAATCTATTAATTCAGATCTTATTAATCATTGTTATATTTGCTACTGTGTCTGTAAAATCTCCTACAGTCCTAGGATGAATGTTGATCATGAGGTGCAACTTCTTGTGGAAGAAATGAATCGACTGGGCAAACAAAGTGAGAATGTCAAGTTTTCGTATATTGGTTATTGAATATTTTGCCAGAGCAACCAGCAAGCTATTGAAGTTTAAAAAATTGTCTTTCCAAATTATGTGTCGCTGCTATGATTGTGAATTATCCATGTATCTGTTTCGATCATTTAGATCAGTTCGTTCACAAATTTTGCTCTCATTATTATTCGACAGTGACCATTCATGTGACGAGAATTCTCATTCATATTTATTAAGATGGTCATACAGATACCAGTAATAAATACTGCCTTTTATAAATTGAGACTTGCAATTTTCTAAACAGAAAAATACATGTCATTGTGAAGGAAAGCCAAATTATGCAAACATGCATCAAAAATATCCTGAAAATAACTTTGTGTTCCTTTTGCAGATGCAGATGGAAAAATATCAGTTACCTTTGGAACCCTGTTTGCAGATGACCGATGTGCAAATATATTTGAAGCATTAGTTGGAACATTAAGGGCAGCAAAAAAAAAGAAAATTGTTGATTACCAGGGTGAACTTCTTCTTCAAGGAGTTCATGACAATGTTCCCATTACTTTATTAAAGGAACAATTATGAAATCAGATTCTAAATAAATTGTAACCCGGTATTCTGCAAAGTCATATGCCTTAAATATTTTTAACATGATATCAAACTCTAAATGTTGATAGGGCTTTATAAGGTTCCACAATGTTTTAAGGTTTGTAAAATTCAATCATGTCCTAACAAATATGCATCATATGCAACTGCACTTACCAATCGAAATTGCAGCAATCTTGTAACTTTTGATTATCTTCTTATAATATTCAATGACATAATTGTTAAAGGTTTATGTATCTACTGTTCAATAAATATGTGACCAATTGCACTGCTAGTGATTAAGATTTCTGAAGTGTAAAACTCATTAAAAGCTACTTTCAATTTAATAAGGGCTTGTTTTCGAGGGAATATTCGTTGTTTCAAAAGAGGCTGGTAGTGGGCGGACTTAGTAGTATTTCTTTCAACTGTGTTTCAGACTGGTTGTGGTAATTTGCTGGACAGAGTGAAGAGGAATTGTCTGGCAGAACAACATTTTTTGTCAGCCGGTTCCATCACAAAACTAAGTCATATTTTTCAGCCGATTCTGTTACAAACAGAACATTGACAGTGATCAGTAAAGCTAACCGGTTCGCTGATCTCATAAAATTCTATGAGACGGTTCTATAGAACCGGCTGAATCCCACCACTGGGCTTAATTGAGGAAATTATTTTGGCAATTGCGGCTCTGGTATTGGTCGCAGTAGTGTTGCTACATGGCCATTATATAACTACCTATATTATATAGACTAAGATGTTGCAGTCAGCTTACACTGTGATTATAATTTTTTCTGAAATATCGCCAGTGGTGGGATTTAGCCGGTTCGCACCGGTTCTATAGAACCGTCTCACTTAATATTTTGAGATCATCGAACCGGTTAGCATGACTGGTTACTGTCAATGACTTTTTGTAACAGAACCGGGTGAAAAATATGACTTTTATGATGGAACAGGCGGACAAAAAAAATGAATCCCACCACATCCATTTATATATCTTAGTATCAAGTTTGGGTCATTAATTAATGAACTACGCTAAATAACATCACATAGCTGGCTCAAGATTGATCTCTACTTGGAGTTGACAATCGCAGGCTCGCAATGTACGAGATCAAATAAACCAATAAGTCTCAATCGCCACCAATATCGGGACCTATTCAAGGGATATTTTTCGTTTATCTGCCGTCTACGCGTCAGGGATTTGGCAAACTATCAGATTCGTAGTATCAAATCATATCGGATATATATTTATTTGGAAAACTTGCTTTAGTCAAGATTTATACAATGGCCATGGTTGCTAAATAAACCTACACTTTGTCAGGGTCATATTTGATATTAAGTGATAAATATTCATACACACACAGTCACACACACATTGTAGCCATCTCAGCTCTTCAGAAGCTCCAAAGTACGAGTTACGCGTATTGCCACGGACCATAGTGTATATGTGTAGTTTTAAATTGTTTTAAAATTGTGAAGGCTTGTTCCAGAATAAACCCGGTTTGATTAAAATTTTATGAATCTTTTGTTTGTTAAATTTTTTAATTCTTGTTCTAAACATTTATTGTTGTAAAGGTTAAAAAAAATACGATCATATCTAATTGGTTTTTGATTATGTTAAGTTCCACATGGCTTTTCTATCCAGTTTTCAGCTGGATCCACCCGGACACAGACACCAACTTGAACAATTGGAATATACATTTGCAGGGACCGTACCGGCGCGCTGTCGTTTCTTCTTCCCTTTATTAAACGTCTCAGTACGGTGTGCTATAAGTCTTCTTTATTAAATACAGTGCCACAGTCTTAAGTTCTGAGATATTTATTAACAGTTTAATATTAAGTCAATAATAAGTCACAGTCTTTTTTTCCTAGTTTTCTTTCTTTCTCTTTTCAAGCGGCGATTCGCCGACTTATATATTCGACAGCACAGATGGGCCACCAAAACGTGTCACATCGTTAACACTCATTTTGTTGTCGCCTCATCTGTTTAGTCGATCTAATTAAAGTTGACACTACAAGCTCCACTGTCGCGGTATTCGCACGTTTAAGTGACGTCATACCGACAATAGATAGACAATAGTGGTCTTGTTTAGATTCATACAAATACTTTTATAAAATGTACTGATAATAATGTTTACTTTCAATTTTGATATGGATAATCAAAGTATTTTCTATAATATATATATATAAGTAAGTTTATCTCAGAAAGTCGACTTTTGCAATTATACGATTTTGTCTCAAGTTCACTCCAGCTGCAAATTAAGTCACTCACAATATTTTAATCATAATTATTTGATTCACTTTTTCTTACATGTACGCACATGGAAATCAAACTCGGTGACATACTGATTAAAGAAACAACGTTATTTTCAAGACATTATAATCCACCAGAGTCACACAACTATTTTTAATATTTCTTCAAACTAATCTTTTACAATTTTTCCGCGAAAGTTCAATTACTATTACAGTGTTTTGATTGGTCTTTTACCAAATTGGTCTCTTCAAAGAATATTGGCATTTATTTTATTTTTGGCTGCAAAATCATTTTTCAGTCAAGAAGTAAATATTCAATGAAATTGTCTAATGAAAATGATGTTCTGTAGTGTACATTCCCCGTAGTTTAAAGAAAAATTCTTCGACCTTAAATGACATTTCTAAATAAATGCGTTATATAAAATTAGTTATAATAACGTGTTACTAAATTTATAAATAGTTACATAATATATCTCATTCCTCAATACTGTGATTAAAATAATGTAATCAATATACCTAAAACTTCATATAAATATTTAACATTATCTGTTTTCGGTATGTTAATGGACTTATATATACATGTCTAAACAAAACTGTCATTTTTGTACGCAGTGAAAAAGTATCATCCATAATACATTATGAAATTCAGCTATATACCCTTTGTATAAAATACTGATGAGTATAAAAAGCGTGTTGTAACAAATTATAGAAAAAAATAAATTACACAAAAATATTGTCACTATATTAAAATGTAAAAATTAATTGCTTTGAAACAATTATTTTCAACACATGGCTTTTTTCTCGCAGTTTGGTCATTTGCCTGTCACATTTCCAGCTCAGAATAGAGTTAAGTATGACATACGTTTAAACCAGCTGGGTGATTACAAAATCTCTGAAAAGTGACTCTTTGTTTATTATACTTTACTCGGTATTCTTAAGGTGTGTTGCTCAATGATTGGTCAAGCATGAGTGTTTAATAAATAAAAACGAGATGAAATCTGAACTGACGTCGGAATCTAATATATTTATTCTATATATATATATAACTCGTTTTTTACTTTTCATTAACTGAAACGTTAAACTGTTTTTAACATCTCTCGTTTTATCCAGTCAATATAGTACGGTACATCTGCATAAACGCCTGGTCTATTTGGCAGAGCACATCCTATACCCCAGCTTGTAGCGCCTACAAGGTATCGTCGACTTGAGTAAGGAGTCACCAAGGGTCCGCCTGAATCTCCCTGAAAAATGATTTGTAATATATAGTATACACAAGAAATTCTTTCTTTTTTAGATTATGCAATGACTTGCATGAATACTATAATTCAAGTATACACTTTTCGTTTAATTGAGGAACTAGAAATAATACGAAACAATATGAAAATATACATACTTATACATACTAGATACGATCATACTAATTATTTTTTGGTCGAAATAACATGATAAAATTGAAGAGAGATGATGGTCGCATAACTTCCTTAATCATTATGTATAATAGTTCATGTCATGCGATAAAGGTTCACCTGGCAAGAATCTTTTCCTCCAGCGGCTGTCCCTGCACAAATCATACCGTCTTTCAAGTGGTAACCAACGGCAGGGAAAGATGTTTTGCAGGTTTCGAGATTTACCAGTGGAATTGTTACCGCCTGGAGGATATTCGAGGCAGAACCTAATCGCAAAATGTTCATTTTAAAAATTTAATTGCGGGAAACAACAATGATTGTACCTCAATAATGCACACATATTAACAATGAAATAAATGTTATTCAAGAGAAATCATTAAATCCGTGTTCTCCTTCGAACAGATAAATAAATAAATTTCAATTAAGAATTTGTTATGGGTATTATCATATATTGTCATTGGCAGTAGAAATATTACGGCATTTAGGCAAGTATTGCTGTTGCACAAAGACTGGTTCGTTTTTTTATTGCTCGACGTGAACTAACGGAGTGTATTTTCAAAGATAGAATAAATCGGAAAAAAGAAAGCAGTAACGTTGCACAACAGGTCCCACTGCATCACCCAATCTAAATTTTTTTTTCAGTTTTTAATTTTTTGGAATATATAATTAATAGAATATGCTTTATTTAGCGCATATTATACGACAGTATATTAATCACTGAATATGTCTGTAGCACGACAGATTGAAACAACTCACCACCACTTATTATACTTCCCCAGCCAGTTACATCTACGTTGGAATTGTCAGTAAAAACTTGTCCCGCTAATGGTAAACAGGCCGGTTGGATTTCAGTTGAATATTCGAAGTTTTTTGTCACCTACAAAAATATATATTCGTCAAAAAATGTACTTCGACTTTTGTTAACTTGCCTTTGGTAGAGCATAATGAGCATTCAAAATCGTTTCTATTATTTTTTACATCTTTAGACATGGGTTGAATGTATCAAATTTCTGGAATAGAAAAGGTTGACAGCCTTGCATTTTCCCTTCACAATCGCACTTAGTTACCATAATTTTTATAAATTTTGCTCAGTCTTTTTATACTTGATTAATCTGGATATTAAACAAGACAAAATTGACGATACAATAATAAAGATGTCGTATAAAATAGACGAGTTATTATTTCGTTATGTTGGTAAAAATACATCGTTTTAATATCCCGAACAACTTGTGAACGTAACAACAATTTTATTTATAGAATTGAATAAAACAACAATGAATTTGCATTTTAAACAACAGCCAAATAACTACAATCGTCTATTTACACGGGCGGAAATAAGTTCTGTTTAGCTTTTAATTTGTTCTGAGAGAAAGAAATCAATATATGGCAATAATTTACCAATAACAATCGTAATATTTGTTACGACAAATACAACACCCTTAATTTCATTTATATATATACTATATTATATTTTAAAACTCAATACAATGCGATTGGCGTGCTTACGTGGATTACAGCAATGTCATTCATGAGTGTCGAGCTTGAATATTGTGGATGATAAACTATTTTGTCTATGTCGTAAATATTTGTTGACGTAATTGCTTCATTCAAAAGTGTTATTCCAGCCACAATACGAACAAAAGCATACGAAGTTGAGGAAATGCTAAATGCATGTAAAAAAAAATAATCCATCAGAAGAACATAAAAAAATATAAAGTCAATCCAAAGCCGGAGATATTCACGGATTAGAACTTCTGTCATTCGATGCTGGAAAGCTGTTTTATTGCGTCTACTTCAGAACGTCTCAATTTTTCAGGTTTCTTGTAAATGAGTGAGTTTTCTAATGCTGTTGTACTTACATAACACTTGCAGTTCTTCTTTATAAGAGTTGCTCTATTTTACCTTCAATTTATGAAAGGTTTGATCTAGCAATGATCGTAGAATATGTTTTCAACTTGGAATGTAGGATTGCTTTCTCAATATCCAAAGTGCAAATATAATTGTTTGAATAATTCTCTAGACATAGACTCACCTGTCAACACAGTGAGCTGCAGATACGACCCAACGATCCGAAACTATAGTTCCTCCGCAACTGTGTGCCCAAATGTTATAAATTTTCTTTTGGAATGAGATCTAAACAGTGGAAATCAGAAAAAATAATGCTCTAATTCAATGGTTCTCAACCTTTTTGTCTTTGCGGACCCTTCTGGTGCTCTCGAAGTGGTCGCTGACCTCTCAAAATTTTTTATTTGAATTTAATTTATAGCTTAAACAGCAACCTAATGTTCTATACAGATTTAACCAAGTCAAAAATAACACCAAACTAGTGGACATTTCCATTTATTTTGTCAAATCAAATACACTTAATGGGATTTTTGCTGTTGCATATCAGAAGCAAGTCTTGAAATACGTGGTCGTGTTTTTGATAACGATAGACGCATATCGTCTTCGACGTTTAGTTGGTTACGAGCCCTGGATTTGATATGAACGAGAGCAGAAAATCCATTTTCACGAAGGTAAGTGGAGGCGAATGGAACAATAATACGTAATGCTTCCATCGATACTTTTGGGTACGACGGCAAAATGGCGCACCAAAACTTAGAAAGAGATCACTGTAGCCGCGTTTTCGTATTTATCATTGTGATGTCATCATAACTCGTACTTGTAACAATAGGTCTACGAGAGATGAATCAAAATAGTTTTTGTAGGCTATTGCCACATTGTCATAGGCAGCAAATATTCGAGCGTATTACAAAAAAGAAAAAAAAAACGATATTAAACTGCAAATAATTTCCTAAAATCTTTATTTGATCGTGGACCCCCTGGAAATGCTTTGCGGACCCCCGGTTGAGAACCACTGCTCTAATCTATTCGAAATAATGTAAAAAGTATTATACCGAAATTTGAGATAAAGAATTTTTTATACGTTTTGAATATTTATTCTAATTTGCCAAAAAAAAAAAATCAGTGGATATAACTGATCTATTTTATCTACAATTTTAGCAGGGGTTATGCCTTAACAAAACTACAGTTTGTAAATGTGACATAGTTGCAAGTAAAATGCTTTTTGGGTTACATGAACCCTATAAAATTACCTGCCACGGATGAGATGTTATAACTGCATCTTCACCACCTACAATTTTTCCTGATGACGGCGTAATTATATTTCCACATGTAGGGGATTCCTCGCAAACAATATGCACTACTTTATTATTTGTGCAAGTTTCAGCGTCTCTAGAAAATTAAATCAGATATTTAGTAAAAAGCTATAATAAAAAATCATGGATAATACATTGTCAAAAATAACAAAATAAAATGAAAACAAAAATATATATTATATAGAATACATACTGCTGAACAAGGGAGCCGAGGTCAAAGTTTCCACCACATTTTATTCCTTGAGCCGTCGTTGTAACCTCTGTTGTTGAGGCAGCAGTACTATGAGATAATTAAAGAAAATAAGCAATCAGGATAATCATTACTACGGTATATCTTTTCACGAGTAATTTTTTTTATTGATTTATATAATTTCGTTACTGGTACATAAATTTGTAAATTAGCGGCCTCACTTCGGCTTTAAAAAATTAACACAGAACATAGCCTACCTTCCCCTATAATGTTGCATATATACCTCCCTACTCATTAAGAGTTTTTATATAATGGAAAAGTAGTATTATTCTAGCATTCACCAGCTACATAAATTACTATCAAATGATTTTTTTTCAACTTTCTACAACTTTAGTTAACTCTTTTTGTGAATGTGGTACGGGTTTAGGTGTAGTGTTTCAAATCAGTAAACTTAGACTTAGAGGTAAATTGTAAAATCACTTGCAAATTACATTGATGACGGATTTCCTCCAATAATATTCATATAAAAATACAGTCATAAAATGTACTCACGCAAATCCCAGTGCGGCACATACAGCATCGCTCTTTGAGTCGTCCCAGCCATCCGCTGTTCCACATAAGTTATGATGGGTATCAGATGAAAGAGAGTAAACTTTCACGTCGCCGCCCTGGTTACCAGATGTCGAGATTACTGTGAATACAATGATCATGCAATTTATTTATAAATGTTTAATTTTGAAATATTTTGTAGTGTAATAAACATGATCCAGTGATACTAATTAAAATAGAAGGCCCGAAATATTATCAAAATATATATTTGTTTCTCCACAACCCCCTTTAAGGTATTAAAAATGATCGATAAAGAAAGAAAGATCAATATTTAGCAAGATTCTAATTCACAGTTATATGCATTCTTATGAGTATAGAGCTTGTAGCACAATACTCACTGCATCTATCTTCGTCCGTTCCTCCGGGACAATGTTCAGTGGAATCACATACTTGAGTTTTGAGTATATATGTACCAGAAGTGCCTCGACATTTTGAACTATTTGGGTCAGCTAAAGATAAGAGTTCATATAACAACATAAATTAAAACTTCTACTTCGCCATATCTGACAACCACATATTCTTGAATAAAGGGTGGTAACTATTAAAGTTTTATCAATTTTATTGTCATCTTTTGTCGCTATTTTTATTTTTAATTCCTAAACTTAATTTCGAAATTAAACAAAAATAAGCATGATATTAAAATAAAATAATAAAAACTTAGAATCGCTTATTAAAAAATCATACGGAAGGCTGCTCACAGCTATCAAAAATAAAGGGTACAAATGATCAGGGTTGTTTCCCAACCCATTATCTATCGTGGCCTCCGAAGGAGTTTTAGCACTTCTGACCCGCTGCTGCCATTGCAGTATAGTATTATAGTGTTATTTTATTGGTATATTACGAATCCCATTAGGTTCCAGCAATTCATGCTCAACAAGGTGAAATAACCTTGTCAAGCAATGAAACTGGGAAGTACGGGGAGTTTTCTTGGAAAAATTGAAACAATCAATTATGCGCCCAGCATTGTGGTCCCCTCCAACTAAACTGCAGCCATCTCGTTCCTTCATGGCTCCCCGGTTGGGTACCGCTGAACAAGAAGATAATAAAATAAAAGTTGTAAAGCGGTAATCGTTGAGACCATAAATGAATTTATTCATCTCAAATAATGTCATACTTGTGGTTGTCGTGGCAACTGTTGTGGTTGTGGAAGCACAGTTTTCTTCGTCCGTTGATCCACTGCAATCAATAATATTATCACATTGCCACGAAGAGGGAATGCAGTTTCCGTAAAGACCACCGTTGACGCACTCAAACTGACTGGATGAACATTGGCCTGAAATATTGTTTTATGATACGATTCATCATCTTCAGTCCGTACAAGGCTCCTTACAAGCAGCCACGGATAGATAAGATATATAGACCGATATACTTAATTTGGTTTGTGACAGAATTATATATGCACACAGGACATTGTTGGATATCAAAATGATTAAACCTCTAAAGTCTAAATGAAAACAAATTTTGTATTTTGTTCTTATAACTTCTTGTTCATGGTCAATTTCATAGATTAGTATAATATAGAATGGGACTGCTTACCATTACAATTATTTTCGTCATCACCCCCAATACAGTGACTGGTTCCATCGCATTGAAGACTGAGATCGAGACACGGGATGACAACCAAGTTCCGCTTTGACACTGAAACTGAGTTGCAGTGCATTCCACTGAATAAAAAAAAATATATATTATTCTGTTTATTTGTGTTTTTAACTAGGTAATATTTAACTCAAACGCTCTTTTGTTATTGCATAAACTGAGCAGATTGCTCTTCGACGTTCTATGTTAGGTTAGATTAAAAAAATGGAATTTTGGAATTTTCACGAAACTAGATTACAATACGTTGATTAGTCTGAATTCAACCCCCAAAATAGATATTTTCGAAACTATTGTGAAATATTAATTCCCAATTCAATTCTCACAAATCAACATGGATAACAATAGAACTATGATTCATTCTGTGTAGGGTAAAATGATATCCTATTGTATTGAAGATTTGAATCGTTATACACAGCATATACATTTGAGAGTGAAAAACTCCATTTTGTATTATATGTCGTTTAAATTTGATTGCATAAGTTTACAGAAAAAACTATATAGGCGCGAAATAAAACTTTCATTCAAAGACGTTTATTTTATTATAATATTTATTTGAAAGGGCGTTCACTAAACTTGTAGATAGGCCATCTTAACATGTTGTAAATTCAGTATGATTCAAAATCAGAATAGCAGAATTGCCAACAAAACTATGTTCTATGTCGATTGGACAACCTTGTGTACCTGTTGTTGGACTGCAGTTTGTTTCATCTTCGTGATCTTCACAATCGTTTATATTATCACAAACCCATGACGATGTTATACATTTACCAGAATTACAAGTGAATCCTTGACAAGTTGATGAAGATCCTGAAGAAGCTATAAAAAGCAAATTCAAATATGCTAATTACGAGAAAATGTTCACGTAGAAAATAAAAACGTTAAAACTGTTTTTTTTTATTCTGTTGAATTTCATTATCGAACAAAAACAGTAACTCTAGGTTTATAAATGTGAAATTCATTCATCAGCGTATTTTAAAAATATGCACATGCACATAATATTTTCAATTCCGAAGGTGTTTATATATTCACATGGAACTGTGTCACGTGGACCGAGAAGAATTGCAGATATCTTACTCAATAATTTTATCACGCAATATGCGGTGAAACTCTTTCGAATGTTGAGTGAAAGAATAATTAAATATCAAACAATATTGTATGTCAGTACACAAATGATTAAGACCATGGAAAATATAATTAAATGAATAAGAAAGTTATACACCACAACAACAACGGTTTTGCTAACACATCAGCTTCTGTGCGGATGTGGTAAAACGCAATAAAGTAGCGACATCACAGAATGACATCATGTTTTAATTTTACCGTCTCACAGAAATGAATGTCAACCATGTATTTGATTGGAAAAAAGGCAACCAAAATTATTACCTGTATTCTCAGATGATGAAATGCTTATGTTTCCGTTATTTATAGCAAATACTATTCCTGCAATTATCCCGCCAACCACTAAGACTGATACAATAGTTACAAGGACGGCGACCAGTGGAGTACAACTAGTTGTACCGGTTGATGTACCAGTTGCGGTTACTGCGTGATAAGCCGGTGGCGGCTGGAAAATTTGAACAGAGAGTCAGTTATAATACCACTTTGGAATTTTGTTTTCGAATTGTAAAACGGACAAAATGAATGTGTAAGTGAGTCTATCGTAGTTAGTTCGTTTTCATGAAAAAGATAGGGCTACAATTCAAAAAGTTTTACACGAATATATTCAAATTTTCAAACAAAAATAAAGCAAGTGATAATAATAAACCAGAAAATCTCATGCAAAACTATTCAAAAAAGATAACAGAATCACTATATTGTAGGTTTCATATTAAAATATTTTAACGGATATAAAAGAGAGAAATATAACTCATTACAACAAATGTGTTTGTTCAACTACATGAAAGTAACCTCGAAAACTAAATTGGATCGGTAACTTTCTGTACAACAAATTCTGTAACTAAGCGTAGTTGGGCTCACTTGCAGAGCACGTAACTCATATACATTTAGTGCTACAACTTACCGCGCAATAAGCCTGTGGTTGAGCAACACTGAATGGTTGAACTCTATTTTGGCCTATTGGTGGAATAACATGCTGATATAAATTGCTTGGAGCTGAAGGAGCGGATGAACGCTTTGGGGGTGTTGAATATGGGCAAGTCATATGTTGGCCTTGGATAGGCATGTAGTTGATTATTAGGCCTTGCAGCCAAAATTGCCTGATCTAGATCCATCGTACGCAATCAGTTATAGTAGATTGATTATTCCACTTTTAATTAGATATCTAAAAATTACAGAAGAACTCAGATTAACTAGTCTATTTTGATGCCTAATTATAATAAAACAGATTCTTTTGGCTGACGTCGTTACCCGATGTTAGCACTATTCTTTCAGTGCTTCTCAGTGCAATAGAAACTTTTCAAAAATATGAAATCTGAAAACGCCATCTCATCGGCTACTTTAAAACAAAGTATCATATTCCACAGTATCTGTTGTTTTCACTTCCTATCAATTTTTTTAGGTAATTCACTTTGTATTCGGTGCGGTAAATAAGATGCACTGCTTTGTAATTGTCAGTTACCCACGTGTACACGTTCACAAGCATAAACAAGTTAACTATTTAACGTTATTTGACAATTTTTTTCTGCTGTGGGCTAAGCCAGAATAACTTCATAATTTATCAATCACTTTATAATCACGCTAAATTTACTGAACATTTTGCAGCACGAATCACCTGACAAAGAACAATGAAGAGGTTCCAATATACTGAAACAATTGAAATTTAAGACCAATCTAAAATGTATTTGTTGAAGAGAGCAAAAGAATGTTGAGGTAATAATATCATATAAATAGTAAGGGTCATGCTCCTCGCCCACCACGACATGGTTACACAGTAACAAACCCTAAATACTAGAAGATACTTAGTGCCCAGTGACGACCTGAACATTTTTAATCCCAATTGTTTTAACATTTTCAACCAATAGACTATTGTTGTAATCAGATTTAACCTTTTTTCGTATATTGCCGTATTCTTTCATTCCGTTACATAATGGGTCGCAATTAAGTCATTCTTGTATTGTTTTGTTTGGTGTTGGTGTTTTACTATAAATTACATTTATCAAAAAACTGTTTGGCCACGATGACCAATTCTAAAGATTAGATTGATGGACCTGTCTATGTTAGCGTGGCAGATTAAAGATTTCGGGTTTAAATTATATGCCTTCAACGAGTACAGGCTCAAGACGAAATGCCGTATGCTTTTTGGGTGTGGAATTTCTCCTTATGTTCAAATTAATTCAATGAATGACAGTCCTGTTAGGTCAAAAGTCACTAAGATGGCTACAAGCTGTGATATTCTGTTTAGTCACAAGTTGTGTGTTTGTATTTTGCTTTTGTGTTAGATCGTTGTAGTTGTGTTCTGATTTGACTGTTTCTGTTGACTGGGAAGCTGTGCGGATTTACCATTAGGCAAAGTGGGTTGAAACCTATGGGCCTCAAGCCGTGGGGGCCTCGACATTGAATTTTGGACTGTTAATATTTTAAAGTGTTTTATTAATTTTAAGGTCTTTTCAAGAATTTCGCAATTTGAAATTTGATCTATGACGTCATAATGTATAAATAGTTATATGCTAATAGTTCATTGGAAATATTGCTAAATGACGTCATAATATACTAGATCTAATAGAATGTACTAGAAACTAGATGAAATAGCCTACTGGTATCGTGTCGCCAAGTCCGGCCTGATAGAAAGTCATCTGTAATAAATGGCTGTTAATACTATATAAAGCCTTTTCAATAAAGCCTTTTTTTGTCTAGACCAGTGGTTCCCAAACTTTTTTTATCATCGCCCCTCTACCGTAATTTATACAACCTCGTCGCCCCCCGACACCGCAAAAAATGTAAAGTCACAGGTTGCCGACTCCTGCGCTATGCGAACTATCTTACGGCGGGGAGGAGTCCGGCAATCTTCTCGCGTGTGATTATTGCCCACGAACGAAATTCAAACCCGAGAACGCACGCAGAGTACAGTATCCAAGTGCACGATCCGCCGAACAAAAACAGGTTTCGGGAAATCGCCCCATTCAGCTTTTTCGCCCCCTTCTGTATTGTTTTCGTTCACCGGGGGGCGATATCGCCCACTTTGGGAATCACTGGTCAATGCAATACAATAAAAAATATATACTATTGAGCAGTACATGAAAGATTAAAGTACTATTAGCGCAAAATGCACGTTCGACGTTCATTTTAGCGCGAGAAACGTACACCACAACAGTTTCTCCGAAAGCACGCACTACAAGTATACGGATTGCATCTTTCGCAGAAAACATTGCGTACCGGTGGAGAATTTTAGCATATTTTATCACAGCTATTTACCATCACAGCTAGACTACTTTTAGATTACTGCAATTAACATGCTGCGTTTGTTCGTGCGGTTATATATGTTTATTGCATATTAATACTAAAAGTTTGTAAGAAAGGGATAGGATTTACATATTGGTCCGGTGTATGTATGTATGTTTATTCGTCTCGTAAAAGCAATATAAAAGAATTAGTAATTATAAATACTGAAGACGGTATGTATGCACAAGAGCATACTGGCCTAAAACACGAATGTGCGTCATACACCCCTTTTGATATGTATAAATTATAATACGGTAAATCAAATACGTATAATATGGTCCATTATACAGACAGTTGTGCAAGAAAGGTGGGTGGGTTTGGTAACAGAGGTAAGGGCGGAGTATCCAAAACTGTGTGTACAACGGAGTTTGTATAACAAAACAACATCTATATAAATACAGACACAACACAACATGAAACACACTGCATGTAAATATAGTAATAAGATTAAAAATTTGGAGTATAAGTACAATACCATTTAGTGATGGGTGATAGTGTTATAAGTGGTCTATGGCTGTTCTGGCAAAAATGTGACCCTACAAGTTTTGGTGAAAATGTGATAATGTTATGTATCAAATTACTCACTCTTCTAAGGTATTTTGGATTCTGACAAAAGCGATGAAGTTTCAAAAAATAAAATAAAAAATTTAATAAGAAGCATTTCCACACACAATCCGGTGGGGGTGATGAAAGCCGAAATGACTGCGTAATCAAACCTGAGTACCACGCCCTTTTGCCAGGTTAACAGTCCGTGTGGGTTATGAGATTAAAAACCGGTTATGCGGTCCAGTTAGTCAAGTTATCAAACATGGAATCATTTATTGATGCAACCCAGTGGTTCTGTATTTTTTTCTTTTTGGTGAAGCATAACCCCAGTGGAACATTTAAGGGGCTCGAGGAATCCAATAGTGCGATAGTTCAGTTGTTTGAATGGTAGGCTACATATAGCAAATCTAATACTGGAGACACAAAATATTTATGCAAGTGTCGTAAGTTTTATAATATTGGCGAATCTAAATGGATTACGAGTTGGATTGCGCGAGACCAACTTACTGTACTTCCAACATGTGGTCGACTATGTCGAGTATATCATGTATTTTTATAGTCTTTCTTGGCAGTTTAGTGTGTTGGCCTGTAACTTTGCTCAGATATCGGTCTCCTGTATTTCTGAGTGAGTGCGCGTGATGTTACCAAGTTAGGCTTTTTCAGCTCATCCTCTCATTGGACACTGAGTGTACAAATGGATCTTTACAAGTCAGTGTATTAGATATATATTATCCAACTGGAGATCCAGAGTTCAGACCTCGGTCGCGCTTATATGAAGATCCTACCCAAAGAGAAACCCATAAAGGCACAAGTAAGCTTTCCTCACTGCTTCAACTTGTAATGAGCCGGAATCAATTCTCTTGCGTTTTTCCTTAGCTTGGAAAGTTGGGAGAGAGCCTTCAAATGATCAATGAAATTGTGCATGAATTAATGAAATCCATCAGTCGATGTTATGGTTGACACGAATCATCCAACTGAGCCAAGTCGGGCCAATTTTTCCAACCAGTAAAATTTAGGCTAGCCCTACTCGCGGCCAAAGTTATGAAGTTGAGACGTTGAGCCCTAGTTTCGTGGAGCTGATGACTTTATGTAAATGTTTAATCTATGGCTGCAATGAGATGCACCATGAGATTTTTTCCTCCGGTAGTGGGAAAGCCTACAAGAAAACATCTTTTTTATATGGCGTTCGCTTAGGGCTAAATTGGTCGCCATGTCAATCACGTCATCGTAAAGTTGTCGCCCAACTAACGACTGTTGAATATCGCGTCACCGTCGGCCTAAAGCTGACAAACTTTTTGCGGGTGGTGGCATTTTCGTTAACCGTCGGCCTAGCTTTTTGATTGTCAAGTTCAATATCAAGTTTACAGCTTTTGGTTTTGTTGTATGTAAACATGTATGCTTGAAGGATAATGGCAAAAGGTCAACTTTTCTTCCTCCACCTCTGCCTGGTTACACTTTGAAATGCGGAAAAAATTACTCATGTTTGGTAAACTCGATTCAGTAGATAAATAATAATAGATTGAGCAGATAAATAAAAGTACTTCATTGTTACGTAACATTAAAGGCACACACTACGTAATGAAAAGTAATCGACATAGAAAGGTGAAAAGAATTTATTAATTCATACACCCAGCATTTAAATTAAAAAACAAAACAAAAATATCAAATCATATTTTAGGTATTCGCAACTTGCTGCATTACATCAATTTTCTTTATCAATTTCATTTTTGGTGTTCCGCGAGGCGACATAAAAAGTGCAAGTGTTCCGTGGCTTAGGGTAGGGGTGGCGGGAGGAAGCCGCCAGCAATCTTCTGGTACTAAATTATCCTCTATGGGATTTGAACCTGCGAATCTAAGCGGGGTAATCTTAGGTTGGAAATCAAGCGTATTCCTGGGGCTTAGCACGATGCGCCACTGCACTGGCTGACATAGATACTAAATACATTAAAATACGTGTATACCCTTCCCCTGGGTGTTGAAATCTCAGGATTGTTCTTTACGGCCTTACATACCTGTATCATGATCGTTCTTTACCAAGAGGTCTACCTCTTATCTAGAGACAGACTCAAAGTGCTTCACACGGACCTAAGGTCTCCGCGATCTATTCGTCTACTCAAAATGGCATTAATAAAATTTAAGCAGCAGCAAATACATCCGAGGTATTAAATAGAGTAATTTCAATTCACCCATCAATATTGATCGCTAAGTAACAATTTGTTTTTGTTACGTTCTTATTGTGGGGCTACGTCAATAACAGTCCACCTCTTCACGAGCTCCATAACACCAAATATTTGAATGGTCTCGAATAGTTGATCTATATATCATCAGTTGTTGTCGTCGGTATGCTCTTGTCTTGAGCAGTCAATTATTTACTTCACATAGAACCGTGATTAATTCTGTTGCTGATGTTATGTCTCCGCCGTTTGGTTTGGGCGAAGAAATTACTATATAGTAGGCATCGAAACAACGTCACATTATGACCTCCCTTTTAACGACATCGCCCGCACGTTATTGTATGAAAACTTAAAATTATTCTTGGCTGCGCAAGTCAATGAGCTAAGATTTGTACGCCAATGCAGAGAATGCATTGATATAACGCTGAACCTGTACACGCCGTTATTCTTTCATTGAGTTGTAGGAAGGTTACATTTTTGATGGCATTCACGTGCGCGTTTACTCGACAAATGTAAACAGACAAATATGATGGAATTGCTGGATTCTTTGTACTAAGCTCCCGTCACTGACGCAAAAATGTGTGATCTGAGATAAACACCCCTGTCACGTTTTAAATAAAAAATAAGTAATTGTGCAGTTAGGGTTTTGGGTTAGAACGATTTGAAAATTTGAATTTCAGGCTGAATCTGCATTCCTCACCTCAACTGAATGAGTCAGTAGCGTGATCGGCTCGTAACGACAACCTGGAGTAATTAAAGTAATCAGGTAAAAACATTTGATTACAGACAATCAGATAGCTTTTTTCGTCAGATATTTTTGCGCGGGAAGCCACAAGCGACATCGCTTTCAGTCAGTCACAAATGTTCGTGATAAAATAAGGTTTGATTTTGTGTAGGATGTATGGATAGGCTGACTGTTGGGTTAGGACAGCGAGTTCGAAGCAATATTCAGGTAAGCTAAATGTTCTTTATACCCATTGTTTTCATTGCTATTATATTGCTTTCATTTTACTATCGTATAAGTGGTAAATTAGAGATTTTCGGGCCTATACGAATTGGACCTATTAACCTAATACAGAAGTCTAGATTGATGAATGATTCTCTTTTGCATCCAACTCACTAACAGCAGGTGCCATCGTTTTCTCACAAATAGGCCAAATTTAAAGGCTATATGACAATACATAAACTTATCATGAAGAAACTTAAACGTAACACACTGATCTACGTAACTACGTAAGCTGCATTCAACATGGTACGCTTTACATGAATGTAAAGCATAACTTTCAAAACTTTCGCAAATGCAGCGCAAAATCCATGGTTTAATAGAGATTCGCCATAGCCTTTTTACTTTAATATATTATTGTGTATGGATTGGATCTTTGTACAAAGACCCTACCAACGTTCAAAATAAGAGAATTAGTAATTATCCAGTTTAAGTTAGGAATGCAGATTGCACTGGAAATTCAAATTTTTAAATCATTCCTAACCCCAAATGGATAATTACTAATATGTGATTTTAAAACGTGGCGGGAGCTTTGTGCAAAAGATCCGATAAATTCAGTCCCACTGTCCATTGATTATGCTAGCTACAGTTCTGCGACAATTTATTTATCAATATCTTAACTTTTTTCAGATGAAGAAATATTGAAGGTTAAAGATTCAAAGACACGAACTAACGAACGAGGAATATTACAAGTAAATATTATTTGAACATTTTATTTGACGCCTATTGATTCCTGTATACCACTGTTTTTGTTTAAAATGCTAAAAAATTCGATGCGAGCGCACCGCGTCTCTGGTCTTGCGATCAGAGTCAGCATTGTTATGCCACTTATCTGATCATGTGTTTTCTCTCGAAATTGTAAGATTTATATAATAAAGTCAGACCCACGTTCACGTTTAAAATGCTAAATAGTTCGATGCAAGCCAACATTGGGTGCTCCTGATGTATGCGCACCAAAATGTCGCATAACCTGAACCCTAACCAGGTACACAACCCGAGTTCAGGTTGTGCGCCATCTTGGTGCCATACTTCAGGAGGTCCGAACATTGTTATGCCGCTTTTTTGATCCTGTGCATTCTATCGAAATTGTAAGATTTAGATTTTGCACAAGCTTTAATAATTTTGTTTCGAAGCAGAAGTCCAAAAAAGTACTATAAATATAGTATCTTGTATCAAATTGGTGTACTCTTTGCGACCCCTAAAATTCGTTGCGCGCTTCCCTGCTGGATAGCGATCCCCAGTTTGCGATCTCTACCGTGAACAATGTGATAATGCTACAAATTACTGATCAGAGGTAATTAATTAGTCATATACTCCATGAAAGAGTTAAATAAATTCATTGAGTATTTTATTGTTATTGTAATATTTGCAATTTGTGCAGTTTGAAGACTACACCTGATATGTTATAGAGTTTATATTTGAAATTTAATGTCAATCGCTGAATAAATTTTATTCGTCTATTCGTCTAAACTTTCTAAATTTTAAATTTTATGAAATTAAATGTCGAAATTTACCCGTTACGTATTTTATTAAAACTTACGTATATTTTTAGAAGAAAATATTCAGAAAAGAGTCTCACTTTAACAATACAAAATGAGGTACAATATGATACACTAACATATCATTTTAACTAAAGGATGTAAATTTGGTGAAATCAGCGACATAGTTGAAAATGACCTCAATTGAATTACATAGTTGGTTTTTTGTATCTTTAGCATAAGCATAGCTTTGTAGTGTCTCTGTCAAATAACATTTGTGTGAATTAACTACCTGAAAATGGCATAGTTGGCTCCATGAAATTTAGTTTAATTCAAATTTAGAATTGACTTACACAAAATCACGATCTATATATTGATTTTCAGCGTTTTAAAACACTGCTTGAAAGTCGACAGAACAATTTATCATTGCACCAAAAGAAATTCGTCAAGTGTCAGATTTTCATCACTGAGTGAGATGGAGGCCTATCAAGTCTGAAGAGCAAGTATGTAATCATATCATTTGAAATCTTTCAATTTACATGTCTATAAATAAATAATATGTTGTATTTTTTCGGGAAATCGACAGACAAATTATTACTTTTAATATTTTGAGTATAATCGCGAAATTAACTATTCTGTACTACAAATTAACTGTAGCAATATCCGGTGAATAATGGCGTAGTCAGTATAGCGCTGCACGTTCAGGGGCTAACTGCTGTGTTGTCCCATCTGCTGTTGTTTCGTTTAATCGTCCAAACCGAAAGACCAATTACTATCTTGTAATGTCAGTTTAGGTAAAGTTCATTGGGTCAGCATAAATAAAAGGCGTTTCATCGCAATAGGGCGTCACGTTGTGATTACTACAAACAGTGAATTTTTTTTAAAGTGATACTATAAGTTAATCCAGCAGTGTATATCTGCAGAGATACTGAAAGAATTTGAACTATGCCTCGTTAAGTGCAATTCGGTTAAAACACAACCCCAACTTAATAACCATGCAAATATTAAAACTTATTGTTTACCTTGTTGTTCACCATGGGGTGCCTATATACACACTAATATGCCTAATTTCCCTGAAATCGTAGTCCTGGCCTTTTTTATTAATCTGATGAGCGTTTTTGCCACAAATGATAATGGTAATCAGACTAATGTCTTAAATTTAACTGTAGCTCATCGTGGTAGTAAACGCTCTGGTAGTAAACAGTTGATAACCATGTCATTGATGTTCCCAACTATACTTCAAACTGAAATCGCCCCCAAATTTCCAATAATGATATTATAAGAGTGAGTCATACTAAGTGTATTAAGATAGCCGTTAATCTTACACCTTAAAGAACTCGTGTCCCAACTAAAATTTTCAAAAACAATACTGTGTAAATTATATTCAACCAAGTGTAAACTTTTTTTGGTCCATATCCCCTTGGTAAAAGTGCTAAGTATTCATATGTTCATGACTGTTTAAATTTAGAGACATGGAAATATATGTCATATTTTCCCTATTGTTGGTGCAGGTCACGTCGTGTTCTGCCTAATCACGTGTGAAGAGCTTAATTCACTTAAACTCTCGTTTATAATCTCTACTGAATGGTGTTAGTTGAATCGTTTATACGGCACACACCGTCAATATAAGATATAGTAGTTTCAAATCTCTGGAATTCTTACTTTTTTAATTAGATATTAGAAACTTGGGTGTCGCTGCTCGATAACCAGTTTAAAGATCACTATATACATGAGATCCCACCAAATTGTAAATCTACTATAGTCAGCCTATATATCCGTTGCTAGTAGTCTCAGTAATCATACCGTCCCATGTTTATAAGTTTTCGAATCTGGAAATATAATTCTTATTTCCTTATCGTTTATTCCGTAGTAATAATCTGTCCTGTTCTTATATATATATATATATATATATGTCTACAATGTCTGTGACTGAAGTTATTTATTGACCTATATTTTCAGGAAGTTGCTGGGAGGGAAAGACTATAGAGAAACTTTGAAGGTAAAATATAACACACTGATAAACTATTAACTATTTAAGATTTAGATAATGAGATACAACATAGCACACTGACAGATCATTCAAAATAAGTAATATTTATAATATTGAAAATCTGCAAATAATATAGAATGAATGTAAATGGATATCAGTATGCTACAAGTTGTCGTCTTTGTATCTTTAGAATAAGCATAGCTTATCACAAGGGCGTGGACAATTTATTGAGGGGCGTAAAGGGAAAATTTGTTAGATTTTATCTTTCCCGCCTTATTTTCGATATTTTCCTTTCTTGAATATGTAGCCGTATTTTCAACGTGCTCTTCATGAATATAAATATATTTTATATGATGTGTTGCAATATTATACGCTGACAAATCATTCCAAAGTAATATTTGTAATTTAGGGGGAAATCTGTGAATAATTTGTCAATGAACTGAACTGACAATTAATATTTTCATTTTTATGTATCTAAACTCTAAAGTATAAGCATAGTTTTCTCTGTGCTCCTGTCAAATTACATTTTCTGTAACTTATAAACCTCAAACTTAATAATGACGTAGTTCGAACATCTATATATTAATTCAAATCAATATCATACAAAATTCCCTACATTTCATTATCTCATATAAATTTCAGCTTTCTGAAACACTTCTTGAAAGCGGGAAAGACAATTCATCATTATATCTAAAGACATGCGGAGTTATTTGTCCGATTATGCATCACTGAGAGAGGTGGCTGCCTCGAGTCTAAAGAGCAAGTATGTTATTAAAATCTTTTGAATCTTCCTAATTTACATTCATCACCACTATTCACGGATCCCCACAATCAATTTTAAAATTGGTATCTATTACTATTCCTAAATAAGTTAAAATTACTTCACTTAATTTAAATGCTAAACATTTTAATAGGCTTAATACCAGGTGAATCCGCAAACCAATTTCTTAAAAACCGGCATTATAAAATATTAAAACTAAAATCTAAAACGGAAGATATCACCATAAGTTTCGTTCTAGCAGTCTCACAGCAGATTGAAAACGCTTTTATAGACATTGTAAATTTGTTTTATGTTAGGATTTCTCTTTAAAATGTATACCATGTAGTAACTGAAATGAAAACACAGTAAATTGTTCGCGCGATGTACCTTTTGTCTGTTTTGAAACTACCGATGGAGCCCAATACGACTTTTTCTCAGTATGATATATAAGATAATTAATGCAAAACATATCGAACAATTTTTTATTTTGCAATATTTTAAATTACAATCGTAAAGCTCAGCTTTGGTTTGTCTGTCAAATGGATTTTTTCGGAAAATCCCCTAAATACTTTATAATATCATGCTTCGGACAACTATTGTTTTTTTCTGGCTAATAAGCGAATAAGACAAGAAGGAATTTTAGCAATAAAAAATCGTGTTTTTGTCATATTACCGCCCAATATTCGGAATAAAACTTGCATTACTTTGTTCCAAATTTTGTCAGATTTTCGTCATTATTGAGAAGAAACTTTTCCCCTTTTGTTTGCAGTAATACTGTTAGTTTAGGCACCAATGCGCGCTAATAATTTTATATGGCAAAGTCTTTAGAACCGGACCAGTGTTCATTTCTTACTATCGTCGGCATGAAATTTAATATTCTACCCCAAAAAACTGTTGTTTAGCGTTACAAAGGTATCAGCAATTATTCACTGGGGGCAATGGTTCTCAAAGGGTGGGGCGCGCCTTGCAAAAGGGGCGTAGACAATTTTTGAGGGGGCATGTAGCTAATTAAATCATTTTTTGGTTGTTGGACTTAATCGTGCATTTTTTGGATATTTACATTCCATCTCCGTCCATCCCCGTATTTTCAAGGTATTTCTGAATGAAACATACTATTTGTTATATGTAGCTTATTGCTAGCTAGTTATTTTTGAGGTGTGGCGAGCATTTTCATAACAAGAGTTACATTGTAATCACCACAATTCGTAAAAATATTTTCATAGCTAACTTATGAAAAGAAAAATTATATAAGTACCAGTACTTCTTTATCGATTTCTCCTTGAATTCTCCCTCGAAAACGTCTACCTAACTGCTAGAACAGCATTGTATCAATAATAATATAGAGAGGAAATCATTAATTCTAAAACATTCAAACTCACTTCTATTTATAATGAATTAAATTGAGTACACACTGAGTTTTGCGGATACAAGGATGTCTATATATCCTGTGTCATATTTATATGTATATTGCCTTCTTTTATTGGTAGAATAGTCATTATTATCTTGCATAGAATTTATTGATTTAATTTTAGGGACCAATCTGGCTAATCTTATATATGTAATTTGAAAGTATCATGGTCTATGACAGGGATAGCGAACCTTTTTCAATGAATGGGTCAAGAATAGGCTTGCACGTAATTTACAAATTTACGGAATTACGGAATTATTTCGAATTACGCAAGCGAAGTCACGAATTACGTAAAGTCGTAATTATTGGTCGAGCGCTTTCGCGATTGAAACGAGCTCTCTTCAGAGCAGTCAATTCCGTCGATTGTAAAAAAGAGTTCCGGTATTCGCAGCCGTTTTTCTCTCTCTTGTTAGGCAGATGGGGAGGGCATAACGCGTCATTTACTAACCTATTATCAACTTATCTAAGATGGCCAATGTACATATTAACCGTAAATAAGGAATAGAATTGTGTCGAGACCGATGGACGCCAACACACCTGGTTTCAACTTCTTCGGGTGAAATGACTGAAGAATGTAAGAGATCAACTTATAAAACATGGTCTATTTGTAAATGTCGTGATAATTAATGTCGCGCTTATCAAACAGCAAGAGACGGAAGAGAAATTGCGTAATGAACCAACGCAACTTAGTCCTTTCGGCATCGGTAAAGCGATTGAGACGGCAGAGAAACAACATTACGACGGGATTTCCCGTGTTTATTCTGCGCGAAATCCATTTTCTATTACAAAATCTTGATGTTCTGTTACCGGTTTTATCGTTATATATCTGTCCGGACTTGGCATTGCTCAATATGTTTTTCACAATGCCTCGCAAATCGCAATATGTCGGCCAAATATGATTACCTGTCTTTACCAAATGCGGCAACTTATTTTGATTTATCGTCGACCTGAATACCACCGGCACTCGACCAAACTTGTGTCAATCTTGGCAAATAGGATTGTCGACTTGAGTTGGAAAAATAAATTAATATTTTCATGAGTGCAAAATAAATGTCACAAAATGCATTGTTTTGCGATATAACTTTGTATTTTCGGAGAAGGCATGTCATACAAGTACGGTATTTTAAATAATGCGCAAATAATTAATATTTGATCTAAATTTATCGTAAATAATGTTATAACATATAGGCCGCGAAATGATTTAATGTAAAATGAAGCATGGAATTCGGAATATCGTCAATAAGTCGGCATCAATAATTATTATAAAATGCTAACTAAGTAGTAAAGTCGGATATTGTAAAAAACGGTGAAATAACAAGTCTTCGTCGCGAGGCAAGCGAAAGTATAATCAAACGAGAGAATACGCTTGTAGTTGATTAATAAATTAGCAACCCGGAATTTTTATTCAATACGAAAGTCGTATTAATACGTCAATACGATTTTAAAAAAGTGAACTATCGTTTCTCAAATATATTACCAGTGTTGGTAATGATAAAATTGATCGCATAAAATTTGGTGATAAAGTTGATAAAGGAAAATCAAAGCTAATGCAAAAGATAAAAATCAGAATAAAATTATTTTGAATTCACTCCTTGATATTTGTCTTTAACATCTGTCTCCGGCGTGTGGTACTGCCGGGAATATGAAAACCAAACTTCGATGTCCCATTCGGAATAGAAGTGGATTAAATTGGTTGGTATGCTAGGTTTAAATGTGTGAAAAAAATATCGCAATTACGGGGTCATTACATAATCGATTTTTGTCAATTACGTGCAAGCCTAGTCAAGAATTATATTTTTATCGCGTAACAGAAGTGCGTGGGTCACAGTTACTTAATCAATGTTTGTATCTATAATTATGAAACTTCTAGAACAAATCTTATAAGCTTCTGTTGGTGTTGGTGTAGTTTTGGGCTTTACTTATGCAACGCTTCTATCAGGGACTTTATATGGCACTCGATTTTATGAAATTAGAGTACGAAATAACTAGGCTTACCATACGTCCCGCTTTTCAGCGTTTTGTCCCGCCGTCCCGATAAGTCAGCCAAAAGTCCCGCTTTTCCAGCATGATACACAAACATGTTCTCGTTACTGTTGTTTCTGTGTAGCGCAGCGCTAGCCTACTTACTGAAGGTGATTGCGTTCGTTTCCCGCTGATTCCCACTGATGCCAGACGTATCGCATGTAAAACCAATACTGATTAGTCTAAATTCGAATTATTTGTACCGGTATTGTTAACGTCAAATCCTTCCTTTTTTTCGAACTGAACCCGATATTTGGACAGAGAATATGCGCATAAAATTTCGATAACAATATGGTCAATAAAGACAGCTGGGACAGCTTTATATGTAGGAATGTATGCCTATGTAGCAAAATCGGAAAATGTGAAGTTACAGAATCGTTGTCTTTTGAGGCGTCCCGATTTGAAGTCACAAAAATATGGTAACCCTAGAAATAACGCATATGAATTACCAAAAACGTTTATGATTATGTGGCAAATTATTTCAAAGATTTGGAGGGAATTCCACTCTGATAGTGTTATATTTTTTGATCAGCTTTCAGCCACATTAAGACACTTTTTCACTGCCCAATTGTTATTTCAGATTCCTAGGTTTTTATTTCAAGTTTGAAATATTTTGTTTTCCCAATGGCATTGTAGGCGAGAAACTAATAAAATGCAAAGTAGCATCTAGTTCTCGTATAACCCCTAAAACAGTATACAGATGCACTTCCGAAAAAAACAAGACGTTGCGAGAAATGAACAGATTAATTGCATTGTTATTTTATAAACGATGTCAGAGCCAATAAATGAATAACGGTACACAGCGGTGCAGACATTGAAACATGCGTCCATTTGAATCCACATTTGAATATGAGCGATCGCAGCACTACTGCCCAACTGACGGTACATTATAATAGTTTATTAATTGTTAAATTAATTCAAGGCCGGTTTTATAAATTTTTATCACTGATATGTTAGCATTTTTTGAATTTTATTCGTGACTTGGCGGGTCACGGATAAAACGCGGTGGGTCACTTTGTGACCCGCGGGTCAGTGGTTCGCCATCCCTGGTCTATGACCATGGTAGTAACCAGTTAACCGTGCCATTCGTGTTCCAAGCTAGAATTACATTAGCTTTCCAATAACGATGTTATATAAGTACGTCCAACCGAGTGTATCAATGTGAATTCTATACCATTGGCACTGGTTAACCACGCCATGCAAGCCCCAAACTAAAATATCGTTTCCAGGGCGATACTGTAACGCAGTGGTTCTCAAACTTCTTCGTATTGTGACACCCTCCAAAAAATATGCTCAAGTTGCGACTCTTCGTGGAAACCGTATCAATACCTTCCAATAAAGGACCTTTTTTGCAATGAGTTTTATTTAAACGATCAAAGAAAACTAAACCAAAGTCAGTGAAATTGCATTTAATGGGATGGGAATACTTGCGTCTTTTTACAATTGTTACTAAACCTGGGTAAGATTTGTGAGAGCCGCACGCATTTCTCTCTTAACGTTTACTCGAGATCGATATTTTGTGCGTATTACGACCATGGTCGAAAAACCTGCTTCGCAAGAATACGAAGTCGCA